CCACCTCCATTTTGTTAGTATGACTTTGACTGTATTTTTTAAAGATTCTACATATAAATGAAGTCACACAGCATTTTTCTGTCTTGGTCTGACTCATTTCAATTAGCACATTATTGTCTCTATGTATCCATGTTGTTCAAATTGGCAGAATTTGCATCTTTTTAAAAACTGAATAATATTCCATTGTGTATATGTACCACATTTTCCTTATGAGGTCATCCGTCAATAGCTACTTAAGATATTCCTTATTGGGGCTGGAGAGATGGCTCAGCGATTAAGAGCACTGACTGCTCTTGCAGAGAACCCAGGTTTGGTTCCCAGCACCCACATGGTGGCTATCACCCATATTTAACTCCAGTTCCAGGGGAATCCAACACTCTCTTCTGACCTCCACGGCATTGCACGACACAGGTACACTCACATACATGCAGGCAATACACTCATACACATAAAATAAAAATAAATAAAAATATATTTTCAAAGATATTTCTTATTTGACTATTATAAATAGTACTTCAGTGAACATGAGGGAGCAAATGTCACCTTGGAATAATGCTTTTACTTTCCATATATATGCATGTACAGATGGAATTAAAGAATAAGTTGTAATTTTTAAATGGTACAATTTGAAAACAAGAAAGAGTGACAGAAAAGTTGAGTGCATTAATGTAAAGAGGACAGGATTTAGTTTTTAAGTTTTCAATACATAAAAATAATACACTGTCTCTAGCCAACTTTGAGTCTCAGCTTCCTGAGTTACAGTATAAATAGAGTAATGAAATGGGCCCTGGAAACCAAGTTGGGTTTTGAAGAATGCCAGTGATACAAGGCATGTAGCAATGATTTAAAAATTTGAAAGTGCTTCACCATATTTGTTAATATTATTATAGAGTTGAAACACAGCTCCCCTATCTTGTGGAAAGGGGATTTGGCATTGAGAATGATTGTTGTATAATTTCAGATAAGCAGACCCACTTAGACCAGAGTCGGCACACTGGAATTTTGAGAAATGAATGATCTAATTTCTTTTTTGTTTTTATAAAATTGTCAGACAAATTGTTTGGTGGTATTTTTTTCCTCCTAACATCTGGTTTTCCTGGTTCAATCAGAACGAGACATACCAAAAGAACATAAAAAATATTTTGGGATATATTTGCAGACACGAGTCACTTGGATCTTTTCATGCATTTTATGAGTTCTTATCTCAGCTTGGTCCAGACAGTTGAGTCTTTCAATATTTCTCATGTACAAGATGACATAGTATCAGGCAACCCTATTTATATTCAACTTACTTAAGAAGTTGTTGAGTATGCTCTAATCAAACTTCTCAGTAGAAAGATGGGGCCAAAGTTGTTCAGGTAATTTTTAGTGTTGTGGTGTGGGAAACCCTCACTGAGGAGGTGGCTCATAAAATGCAGTGCCAGAAGAGAAATCATGAGTCCTGCCTGCACTAGGACACATGCCAACCCAAGACTAGCCTTTAACCCTCACAAGTAGTTCTGTCCTTTCTTGGCACATCATGCTGATCCTTATGAGACTGAAGCATGGTGACTTGGTCACTGAAGCATGACAGGAAGTTGCGTCTTTATGTTCTTTCCTTTCTTTCAGGCCAAGGCTGCCATCGTTCCTAAGATAAGTCATAAGTAGCCAGTCAGCTAGATTATGGCTGGCTCCCATTCACCCACATTGACTCTTTTGAACCTTCAAGAAACGCATGAAAAAGAGCATGTTATTAACCACCTAGTCAGAACGCCACATGCTCTCAATGGGACTGAGTGTGAAGTTAGTGCACATAGACTAAACTGCTGCTAAGTCAACCAAGAGGAGCCTCAGCCTACAAATTATGAAATCAGCCAGTATTAGGTTTGAATGCTAGATGTTACATGAATGGATAGTTATCTACTAATTTGCACACACAGTAAGACTTTGGAAGTTGATTTTTATTCATTTGTTCAAATATAGAAAAAAAGGTTGCCTGTACTCTGAGCAGTATTATATCATGGTAAAAATGGTGACAAGACCAACAATGGTTCATCTATATACATATATACATAATATACGTGTGTGTATTCAAATATAAAACCATCACTGCCATACATAATAGGAAGGTTTGAGGAGGTATGCGATAATGTGATAACAGCATGAACATGATGGGTTCACTCTGGGATAGGGAAACCTCGCTGAGAAAATTATGCCAACACTGAGATCTGGTTACTGGAGATGAATCAGCTCAGGAGAGAATTCCAAACAGAGGCAGTGGCCCAAGCAAAGACTTACAGGAGGAAGCAAGAGGCTCTGAGCAACTAAAAGGAAGTATGTGATATAAAGTTGAAACAAGAAGTGAGGTGTTGCTTTCTGAGACTATAAATGTTGTGAAGGTCTGTACCTATGATGTTTCTGTGGCCAGGAAACAAATTCTGGTTCCCAATGAACAATGGGAAAAAATTAGCAAAGAGTTAGACAAGCTTGATTTGAAAGATTGTTTTCAGTGGTGAAGGTTAACATGGGCCACTAGATTGGGCATTAGTGCTGCAGTAGAGATGGAACCAGGTGGTAGCAAAGAATAAGAAAACAGTGGCAGAAAAATTAAATAACACATGTAAGCTCAAGCCAGAAAAAATCTCAACATAGACTTGGGGAAGTGGGTAAGAAACCCCAGTCCTATCTGAGGAATTACTGGCAACCAGTGACTAATGGGGAGATTCAGTCTCTAAGGGGGAGACCAGTAGGTTGACCAGGCTCCAGTGGATGAACTCACACCAAAGAGCACTGGGAGACACAAACCTAATTCTAAAGGCTTTTATATGTGTGTATGTGTGTGTGTGTGTGTGTGTGTGTGTGTGTACACGTACATATATGGGGCTTAGAAATTGGGGTGCAGATATGGGACAGGATCTAAACGTGATAAAAATATAATGTATTCATAAAAAATTTTAAAAAATGGATTCAAATATAGATTAAAACAAATCACTGAAATTCTCTAAAAATAATTAAGTTGACAGAATTGAGGACCTTGTCAGGTTGAAGAAACTTGGCACTAGTGACACATGGATGTGACAGTGGCATGCATTCACAATGACTCCTAGATGTAGTTTGCACAGCTGGTGGGGAACACTGGAAGAGGACCAGGAGTGAGGGAAAATCATAGCTTCATCTTCCACCTGTTGATTTCTACATGTAGGCATGGAATGGGCAGCTGGATAAAGCTTAGAGGAAAGGTCATAAGTGAACTGTACACTTAATAGCCATACACAGATATCAAGTGAGGTCATGGATGTTAATGGAAGGAATTAAGAGAAGAGGAAGGTCTTGCTCTGCTTCTCCCACCAAGCTGTTCATTTCTAACACTCTTGTCTGGCAAAGTTTTCCAGATGCCAGGAATGACATAGCCTGACCTGGGGTACAACTCGTTTCTTTAACCTTGGCTTTTTACCATACTCACACCCTTTTTTTCCTCCAAGGTTCTCACTACATGGAACTTTGAAAATAGTTTGATTTTGTTTCTAATTTCCTCATAACTTTACCTCCCACAAACTACTGGATGACTGTACTTTTTCCAGCAAAGTTTACTAGAAGTTGAACACCTACTCTGTTTTCCCACCTTAGTATATAACTTGCATTCCGCAAATAAACTTGCTTGTTATAGTGATATGTGGTACTGGCACTCTAGCACCACAGATGCCCAAACATCATGTTCCATAAAGAGGGCACAATCAGAGATCTAGTTCTTTACAGTGAGACTGTGTAATTAGGTTTTCATGGGCATTTACAGTCTTAACTTAGTTTGTATGACAGAAATAAACTTTTAAGATTCTATTTTTGCATAGTATATGACTGTGTGTGTGTTCATGCACGTGAATATAGTGCCCGTACAGGCCAGAAGAAAGTGTTGAGCATTGGATTCCATAGAGTTGAAGTTACAGGTGGTTGTAAGCTGCCCAACATGAGTGCTGGGAACCGGACTTGTGTCCTCTGCAAGAGCAGTATGTGCTCAAACTTCAGAGTCATGGCTCCAGTTCCAGAGCACACTTTTTTTTTCCTGTTCAGAATTCATGACATTTATTGCAAAATATAGTTATAAAAGCTTTATTGATATACCAATAATTTCAATATTACACATAAAAATATTAACATATTTCAAGGATAACGTTGTTATAAGCCTTCTATACCATTGTAATTTGCTTACATCCATCCCTGGTTTGGAATCAAAACACTTAATGATCTTCCCATGGGCAATGGAAGAACGTATCCTATCTTACAATACGCTGTACTTGCTAGTGTATTTTCAGATTGTGAAGAAACAGCTTTGCAGCAAAGTTAAGAAAATTTCTGACCTCTTCAAAAATAAATGTTCTTTCAGATTTAGCAGACCTTTTGAAACCAGTCTAAGAGAAATGACCCATGAAAAAGGACGATGGAGGAAAAAGCCTAACTTCTATTAATAAGTAACTTCCCAGATACTTCAGCTTCAACAGTCAATCATTCTGTTTATCCAACTCTGTTAACTACAGTCCAAAGAATACAAATTGAAGTTATTGTTCTTTCTGGACTCCTTGGCAAATGAATTCTGTAATGAAGTCCTTCTAGGGGGATTGGTGAGAGGGGATCAGAGTAACAAGGAGATAAAGAAAACACTTCAGTGTAATAGCTAACATTTTAGGCCTATGGAAAAAATACAGGAGATGCCTATTTGTGTGTGTGTGTGTGTGTGTGTGTGTGTGTGTGTGTGTGTGTGTGTGGTGAATCCTAGAGTGACAGTCACCTTTTACTTATTCTCCTACAATATTTGTGAAACCATGTGTCTTTAAATAAAAGTAGAAATTTCGAGGCCAGCCTGGTCTACATAGCGAGTTCCAGGTCAGCTGGGCTACAGGGAGACCGTCTCAAAAAGACCCCCCCCCCAAAAAAAAAGTTTAAAATTTCTAACATCTCAAGAAGCATTTTCATGAGGGGATACTAACTAAGTAAAGTTCAACCGCACTGGTAAAGCCTTCTGTTGTTCAAAGTACTGTGCAACACACAAGTTTTAACTTGTCTTCTTTTCCTTTTGTCTTTCTGTAAACTATTTCTCGAAAACTGGCTAGGATCCTGTTCTCTCTCGCACGCCTCTCTTCTTGGTTAAAGACGCAAGTGCTCTTTTCTCATCGGCACTGTAAATCTGGTTCTCTTTCAGCAGCCTTACGGCCTCCATTCTTCGATGCCTGCTACCACTCATGACATAGCCTGAACACTCAAATGAGACAATCTCTTCACTCGTCAGCTCAATTTCACCTCTCCGTGGGATACGCTTTCCAGCCTTTACATACTCGGCCATAGCTGCATCTTCACCTGGGAGCAGAGCGTGGCCGTAATTCAAAGGTTTCGCATCTTGAGAGACATGGATTATAGGTGCTTCTGGGCCTATGACAGCCATGACCTCTGCACCCACTGTCTGTTCAATCCACTTGTCTTCTGGCAATTCGCTTCCTAAAGTTTTACTGCCTAGGTCCCTGTATTTCTTCTTAGGGCTCTTCGTCCTCTTCTTAAGTTCTCTGGCTCTGAGCTTCTTTCTCTTCTCTTTCTTCTTGGCTTTTTTAACTTTCCTTTTACAGCTCTCGGAGCCAGAGTAAGTGTCAGAATCCGAGCTACTGCCTCTGTCAGAGCACTTCCTGCACTTTCTTTTGGAGGGACGTTTCTTTCTTTTTCTCTTTGCTGAACGACTGGTCTTCGTCCTTTCGTCCTTGGTGAATTCGGTGAACTCGGAGCTGCTGCTTTTCTGGCTTAGCTCCTCTTCCACTGGCGAGTGCTCATCCCAGTCGGGCTCGGGGAACCTGGGCGACAGTTCCCACACGTCCGGCGCGCCCAGCTCCCCTATGCGCTCCTGCTCTCTCAGCCTCCACTGCGGAGAGCTCTCCTCATCCTTCTCGGGGTCCTCCCCGCAGCCTCGATAACCCGCGTGGTGGTGCTGGTGGCGGTACCCGCTGGAGGCGGAGGACCAGCTGGCGGAGGCGCAAAGCCCCGGGGGCCGCTCTTCTGACCAGGGACGGCTGGCCTGATGCGCCATCTGGGTGTCACGCCGAGGCCGGAGGCCGGGAGGGCAGAAAGCGCCACTGCGGGGGGAGCGTCGGCTAGCTGCCGCCCATGGCGGGCTCCTCAAGGAGCTGCGGCGTCGTCTTTGAGAGCCTGTGTCCTCGGACAGACGAGACCTGGACACCGGGGCCTGGTCCTTTGAACCGTCCACTTGGCAGTTACTGGAAGAGGAGCGTGCAGCACGTGGCGGTGGCTTCCGCTTCCGCCCGTTGTCAGGAGCGCCTTTGGCTTCCGCTTAGGCACCAGCAAAGGCCGGTGGACCTCGATGGGAGAGAGAAGAGGGAGAGCCGCACCTTTTCTTTGGAAGCCCGACAAGCCACACATTTTTTTCAGTTTGCTTGTTAATAAATCTGTCTTGGTTGGATATTACTATATTATTTCCCCCCTTCCAAAAATGTCCTTTAATTCTGTTTTCAGTATTTTATTTTAATTTTTCAATATATATTTTTATTGAATTGCATTTCATACAAAACATCTTGATCATCTTTATAACCTATCCCCCATCCAAACCCCCCATAATTTCCCCACTGGATTTCATGCATTCTGTCATATATATTAAGGCCTATTGAATCAAGTTGTCAGATGTCCCGCAGTGCAAGTTCATCCTTTGGAGTCTTGTTAACCTTATCTAGAGTCTCTAGATAAAGATCAACTCTCCCTCACCCAGCAGTACTCAGTGTTTAAACTGCTTCCTACATCATATCCCTAAAGGGACTTTCCTCATTTTTCTACATGACTTGAAGAAAATGTCGAATTTTTCAGGGGTCAGATTGTGGATTAGGGAAGATTTGTATTTTGGGCTGATGGACTTATCCAAGGCCAATATTGTAGGTTAAATCTCTTTTCCTGCTCTTTGTTTATATTTTTATTTTGTATATTAGGACAAGATACAGTTTGGATTGAATTCTTTTTTTATTTTTTTAGACAGGGTCTCCTTGTAGCCCCAGTTGGTCTGGAGCTCACTATATAGACCAGGTTGGCCTCAATCTCACAGAGATCCTTCTGCCTCTGTCTGTCTGTCTACTGTCAGGGATGCTGCTGTGGTAGCTCCACCCTCTTGACCTCCTTAGCGCTTTCATGAGTGTCCTTTTCTATGTCATTAGATTTCAAGGGATTGAACAACCTCCATCCTCAGGGTATAAATGTCTAAGGATTTATGATATTTTGCTTCTAGAATTCCATGATTATGTCTATATAGGAAATATTCATGCTTGAAGTGGATCATTAGCTGTGTTTCTTTCCTTTGTGCTTTAATTCTTAAACATATGGGATTCCATAAATTAGATTCAGAGACTTCTAGCTCAGAGTTTAGTTTATAATTGTCTGAATATAGGTTTTGACCAATTTGAACACATTAATGATTTCTGCTCCCAAAGGAAGATGGTTTGAAATTTACCAATATGTGTTTTAGATACAAGCTACTTGAAATTGGATTGTATGACAAGGAAGTACAGCATTAAGTAACCAGATCCAATAACTTTGATCAGTTTTATTTAGTGTATTACGGAATTCTGTGTTTCTTTCAACTCTGGTTTAGAGGATCTTTTGAAGCTCACGTGCAGGCAGTTAATCTTAACTGGGATCACTGATTTATAACAGAAAGAAAAAATGTTCTTGCGAATCCAAATAACTTAAACTTGAAAAAATTTAAGTCAAGTGATTTCATCCATAAGCCACTAATAAAATTAGAGAGATGTCGAACAGAGAATAGATGCCTTTCAGAGGTCACAGATCTGCAGGTGCAAAAACGTGTTTATTAATCAGCATAGAGGAAAATATGGCAGATTTGATTTTAAAATGAGACTCAACTTTTGATTAGCCTTTCTGAATATATATGTATATGTATACAATTATATACATATAGTTTTAGCCTAACAAACGAGTTAATTTAGAGAAGAAAGAGACATCAGTGATTATGGTCACTGCTACCTTAGTCATGGTGTCAGGGAGCTAATGACACACTGGTGGTGCACTATATGGAGAATATGTGGATAAAAATGTGGCTGTGTTCATCTTGGAATACTTTAAGTACTGTGTTAGAAGCAGCAAGTTATATGCAATGTAGACGCTTGGATACACTGGAAAGGACCTAAGATTAACTTTTCCAAAATTAGAAGTACCACAAAATATCATTGATTTACAATAAAATATGCCAGTAGAACAACAGAAATCATATCTAGTCAGAGCACACAGATATAATGGAGCATTATCTACAAGGGCATTACAAGAAGTAAAGGACCCATGGAGTATGACAAAGCAAACAAGCCAGCAAGACAAGCAGCAATTCACTATGTCACATGCTATGAAACTTAATGAAATGAGAAAGACAGGAAGAAAGTGGAATTTTGGAGTGGGGAAGAAATTGATCACATCTATGAGAGAAAAAGGATTCTCAGAGAGAAATTAGTTAGTATAGAATAATGTGGAAATTTTGGATGAGTTATGAGGTGAATCCTACAAGCAGGGGACAGATCACAGATAGACTTATGTGGCAAATGAGCAGTATGCGCATTGTCCCAAAGGCAGGTAGTGGAAATTTTAAGTAAAATGAAAAAGTAAAAATGAATTGATACACAGAATTTTGTGTTAGTCATCTTTGCTTTACTACAATGAAATGCCTGAGATAATCAACTTATAAATAAAAGATTTATTTTGGCTCACAATGTTGGAGGTTTCAACCCATGGTCAACTGGCCTCACTGCTTTTGGAAGGATGTTGAGGCTATGCATTATGGCATGAGCTGTTCCCCTTGTGGCAGCCAAAAATCAAAGTGAGAGGAAGAGGTGGGGCTAGTTTCTAATAATCTCTTAAAGGACACTCCTAATGGCCTAACTTCTTCCCATGAGGCCCATCTCTTTTATTGTATATTTTTATTGAATTTTTGTGTATTTCATACAAAACATCTTGATCATCTTCATACCCTCTTCCCCATCAGCAACCACCCATAACCCACCCCCCCACTGGTTTTCAAGCATTGTATAATTTATGTTAAGGCCTATCAAGTCAAGTTAGTGTCCCTAGAGATCCCTCAAGGCAAATTCATTCACTGGTGTCTAGTCAGCCTATCTAGAACCACCCTCTTAAAGAAGATCAGTTCTTCCTCACCCAGAAGTAATCAACTGCCCATTAGTTCTTTGGATAAGATTGGGACCTGCTGCCGATTTCTCCAGTTCTATGCTGACTTTTTGCCTGCTTAACTTTGCATGGGTCTTGGGCATGCTGTCAGCATTGCCGTAAATTCATATGAGCAAGATCCCAGGAGACTGTAAGACTTTATTTCCATATGGTCATGCACATTCTGCCTGGTTCTTACACTCTTTCTGCCGAAATGGTCCCTGAGCCCTGAGTGGGTGAAGTTTAATATAGGAGTCTTGTCCAAGGGCCCACACTCAGCAGACTCTTATTCTCTAAACCTTGGCCATTAGTGGCCTTTTATGTTCATTACTCTGTGTTGCATGAGGGAGCTTTGTTGATGAGAGTTGAGAGATGAATTAGCATTCTCTCTACCCCTTGTTCTACTATGTTCCATGAGCCTTAGGTGGAGAGGTTCCATTGTAGATGTGTCACTTAGGATTGGCCATCTCACAGACATATAATCTCTGTATGATCAGTTGTAGAACTCTGTAATAATCTCCATCTGTCTCTTAAATGTTCTACCACCTCTCAGGGATGTTGTTCTACTTTACCTTCAATTGCGGTGACAAAACACTCTGACCAATACCAACTTGGGGAGGAAAGGGTTGATTTAGCTTATATTTCCTGGGTCACAATTCATGGGAGCCCAAGGTAGGAATTCAGAGCAGGAACCTGGAGGCAGGAGCTGAAGCACAGGTCATGGAGGAACACTGCTTACTGGCTTGCTCCCCTGGCCCATACTCAGTCTGCTTTCTTATATAATACAGAACAACCTGCCCAAGGGTGGCACTGCCCACGGTGGGCTGGGCCCTCCTACATCACTCAACAATCAAGAAAATACCCCACAGACATAACCAGAGGCCACTGGTGTCCAGTCCAGTGGAAGAAGTTCCCCAGTTGAGGTTCCCTCTACTCAGGTGTGTCAAGTTGACAACTAAAGCTATCCAAGCACAATTCACCTCTTGCCAACTTGACACACAAATGTAAGCACTATTAAACTGTACCCTTTCCATTTCTTGTCCCCCAAGATATGATGTTAACAATATCACAACATAAGACAGTACAACCTTAAAAGTCCCACAGTCCTTAAAAAATCTCAACACTTAAAAATCTATCATAGTCTCTTTTAAAAGTCTCTTAACTGTGGGCTCTGATAAACTCTAAAACAAGTACTGTCTTATTTCTAAAGGGAAGAATTGGGCACACCTAAGCAAAACCTAAGTCCAACAAAGTAGCTCATCTAGTGGACATCTGGGACTCACTCATGATCTGGACTCCAGAGGGTTTTGGCAGCTCTACTTCTCTGGCTTTACCATCCACAGCACACACAACTTGTCTCGCAGACCCAGGGCAGCTCCATTCCACACCTGCTGGTGTCTTTGGTGGTTGTCCCATGGCCCTGGCATCTCCAAAAAGCTGGGGTCTTCAATGAAACTGAGGCTGAACTTTCACCAATGCACTTTTCTGGCCTTTTGGGGTGCAAAGCCTCAGATTCTCTCCATGACTCTTTACTTCTGGAGTTTTCACTACAACTGAGGCTGCACTTTCACCAGTGACCTTTCCTGGCCTCTCAGGGTGCCAAGCCTCAGTTGCTCTCTGTGACTCCTTCAGGCTTTCAACACTAGAATCATGGAGGAGACTCTTACACATTACCAAATTCTGCTTCCAGTTTGAGATGGAGGTTCTGGTACCCTCTGGACTGTAGCTTCTGTGATGACCCTGAGGAAATACTGCCCAGAAGATTTTTCCACAGTGATGCCATCTCTTATTAGAGAACTAAAGAACAAACACAAGGTCATGTAACTAGTAAGAAAACCCAGCTATTCTGGCTACAGAGGCTTGTTCCCTACCACCATGACACACACCTTAAATACATTTGTTCCATGACCTCAGATACCTGCCTGTCTTGCTTCTAGCATTTTCTGACTTAGTCCCTTGGTTAGGCACTGATCATTATTTATTAAAAATAGGTGAATGGTGGACTGAAGGCTTATTAGTAAGTAGCTATTATGAGGTTATTAGCTTCTTAGCATAACCAGTGTCAATGGAGAAAATGAGAAAAGATCAGAATAGAATAAGCTGGAGAGTGAATGAGATAAGGATGTATAGGCTATGCTTTCAGAAAATGTGGTACTTCACAAATACTGGTATCTCCTGATATGCTTTTTACTGGAGTCCATGTTTATTAATATAAGAACTACATCAGGTCTCTTTCCTCATGTAGTTGACTTCCTGTTGCTCT